TCATTTCTCCCACCCTAATTAAGATGAAGGAATGAAACCGATGCCGATCGATAGAGAATTAAATTCTCAATAAATGACAGCGGTTTCATTACTTAATGTCAAGTAGGAGCGAAGGAATAAATTTTCAAAAGCGCGGAGAAACCCCGAACGGCTCTCCGGCGTCGAGTGAGTCCGGAGTAGTCCAATGAACGAAGGTCTAACATANTCTCCTAATAGAGATTAAGCAATGAAACCGCTGTAATTTATTGATAATATGATTCTCGATCGATAGATGTTACGTTCATTCGCTCTTCGCAATTAGGGGGGGGGGGAGAAATGAATTTTCTAATCGGGTGAGCCCCTCCGCGCTCACTCCACGCCGGAGAACCGTTCAGGGTTACTCCGCGCTTTTGAAAATTCATTCCTCCGCTCCTACTTGAGTAGGATAGGATAGAATTTCCCGAAGATTCCAAAAAGCTTCATTGTTCTTCGTGCATGAAAAATGTGGATCTTCGGGAAACTCCTTGCGATCGCAAGACTTTTACCGATTTATTTTTCTCCATGTGACGTCCGTATAAAAGATCAAAAAATCAATTTAACAATGGGATAAATGGAGTGNCGTTTCATACGGCCAAATCACAAATTGTATCAAAAATGGAGCCTGATTAGCAAACATTCGTCTGTTAGACCTTCGTTCATTGNCACGCCGGAGAACCGTTCAGGGTTACTCCGCGCTTTTGAAAATTCATTCCTCCGCTCCTACTTGAGTAGGATAGGATAGAATTTCCCGAAGATTCCAAAAAGCTTCATTGTTCTTCGTGCATGAAAAATGTGGATCTTCGGGAAACTCCTTGCGATCGCAAGACTTTTACCGATTTATTTTTCTCCATGTGACGTCCGTATAAAAGATCAAAAAATCAATTTAACAATGGGATAAATGGAGTGGAGAGAAAAACGTGAATATCTCGGAAATTAGATGCGANCGAGGTTAAGAGATGAAACCGATGTCATTTATTAAAAATATAATTCTCAATCGGT